CAACTCCCAGAATTCCCCAGCCAGCAAAGCTGGCTGGGGAATTCTGGGAGTTGAAGTCCTCCAGGCTTAAACTTGCCAAGGTTGGAGACCCCTGCTATAAGGCATCTGGGCATCTTCAGGAGGGCTTTTCCAGCTGATCAAAGTCCCTGGGTAGGTTCATAGTATACACCAAGGTCTTTTAAGGTTTTGAAGATCAACACAGCACCCTAAATCATGCCTAATATGAAATCAGCAGTCAGCTACCTAAGTGTCAAGCCACAGTCTCCTCGGCACTACATTCGTTTATATAATTTTATGACATTTTATTTCTAACTGCCTAGAATCACTTAGGTAGTGATATAGGCAGGGCACAACCAATCCCAGAAAGATTCCACAGCATCACATCTCCCATCTAATTTCCTCAAAGTTCTCCAAAGCAACCAAAGTGTGCTTGATTGAAAGAGTCCAGATAATTAATTTCATTCAAGTGCATCAAGAGGTATGGAGCCATCATTTTCTCAATTATTTATTTTTATTCAAAAATGGAAGATTGGAGATCAGCCTGTAATTACAAAGCTCCCAGACCCAGATTGATTTTTTTTCCAGTTATGGTCTTATAACTGCCTCTTTAAGTCATGTTGGAGAAACACAACAATTTCTAAATGAGATGCACATTCTTAACATTGGCTTATCTGCTAGTATATTTTAATATCTGAAGATTCTGTTGATAATTAAAACATTTAAATATTTCCTCCTTTTCATTTCATATAAACTGGAAACGGTCACTTTTCTGAATAGTCAGCAGAAAACTAAGATTTGAAAATGTTGCTGACACTTCAAATCAGTTCCTAAGATGTTTATTTTCAGAATGCCTGGAAGAGCAGCCAGATGTTTAAAAGTAAAGACTGTTCATTCATGCCAGAAACTTAGCAAGGGGACAGTCTGTTTTCAATTCCACAGTTGTGGGCCAAAGAGCATTTGAAGATAATGTCCCCAGCATTCAGCAGAGGCAGGATTGTGGTTTTTCCTATTTTTTTAATTGAAAATGTCCTCATTGCAAAAGAAAACAAACAAACAAAAAAGGCAATTTTAGCCCTTTCCTCTTCCAAAGAAGCAATATCATGGTCTTTCTGGCCATGTCTTTGGCAGCTATTCTGTGGATGCTGTTTTTCATTGTATGGGCCTCTGCTTTCTGCACAATGCCCCAAACATACTTTTATTGTATTTTTTAACTTGTGGATCTAGATTGGATAATATTTAGCCCTTGTGCAGAGGGAAAAATAAATCACACGACTGCACATTTTGAGCATAAGAGAGGAGCAAGTTATAAACTCCTAAAGATATATTTTTGAGTTTAGGTTTTTATATTCTATTCAATTGTTAGATAATTGGGACATTTTAGAAATGAGAAAAAGGGATTGCACATACAGCACAGAGTGAAGATTATCTTATTTTAAATGCATGTTTTAGTTATGAAAACCCTATGAAACATCTGAAAGACAAAATTGCCCAGACAGGATGGAAATTGGGCAATATATAAAATAAATAAATTATTTTGATTGGTCATGCAGTCAGTCAGTTGTTTAGACAGGATTTGGCATTTTTGTCCATCTGTCAAGTCCTTTCCAAGGACATGAGATAGGCAGATGTTGATGCTTGATGGTGTTAAATTGTCACAGGATATAAGCTATTTGAATAAAACTGCCTTTTGCAATTGATTGAAGTTGTCTGTGGTATTAATGATGTTCAAATGGTGCTCCAGTTGTTGTGTGATTACTCAAGGAGCCTATTACTATTGGTACTACTTTCACTTTATTTTGCCACAATCATATTTCTATTTTGTTATCTTAATTCTTTCTCTTCTCTTCTTTATTCAAGCAAATGTACATGTTTTATTTATTTGTTAACCTGTTTGTAGAGCTGAAGTTGCAAGACGTGAAGATGTGAAGAGAAGGTCTCTCTTCTTAAAAGTTCTTTTCAATTCTAAAGAGGTGTCTCGAACAGTTTCTCGGCAGATGAGCTCAGACTTTAGAATTCATTTTGGGCAGATTTTTAACGTGCAAATATTCAATTGGCCAGAGAGTTTAAAATTGCAGGTAAGTTATCGTGTTAAACATATATAGAGAAACAGTAGAACTTAAATCCTCTTATCTGTGGCAAGAGTTCTGAAGAAATCCTAACTTCAGTAGTTTAGATTAAGTTTCCATAGAAGAACTTAAGTAATTTATTTTGACCATGGATTTGAATGATAGAAGGTTCTTTTGATAATGAAATTCTGTTCATGGACAAAGCTACCCTCACGTTTCTTGTATGGGATATAGATTATATGCTCAATTTCTCTTGCTTTTATTTATATATTTTTTTATTTTGTATTTCTACACTGCTTCGATGGCAGTTTGAACCACCATCTGCTTCAAACAAAATTCTTCAAAACTTTCACCCCAACTAGTTATGTATATGCAATGGTATAGAGCTTTTAAAGAATAAATGTCAATAATTTCCTGTTAATTTAATAGTATTCCTTTGAACACTGCTGGTGTTTCCTCCACAGTTGTTGATTTTGGAGTCCATGATCTAGTGCTTTTGCTCCTCAAGAGCTGGATTTTCAAATGAGATTCACCTGCTTCTCTGCTTTCACTTGTCGGGGAAGGGAAGCCCATCCAATTATCATTCTGGTATATCCCAAACTACAGCATATATTTACAGTGTAGCCCTGATATTATGATACATAATGAAAGACAAGCAATTCTAACTCATACTAACCTTCTCTGGTCCCTTGAAATGCATGTGCTTATTTATGGCCATGAGAACATATTCGAAAACATGGTGTAAATTAAGTATAATTATCAGTCAAAGTGATAGGAGTTGGAATAATTCCTTCCCTTTATTACAGCTTTATGAAACAATTGGACTCGGCAGTGCTAACTTGTTAATGGAAATATTTGTGCCCATCCCGGAGACGACGGTTCTGACAGGAGCAGCTCCAGTCGAAGAAATTGAATTCAGCAGTGACCAGTGTGTAACACTGGAGCATGAAGGAGTGGGCAGCGGTACAGAGATTGTTCCCTTTCTTATCGGTTGATATTCAGAGGATTGCAAACCAGCTAATATAGTTGACATATTGTGGCTTTAATGCTAGCTCCAAATACTTATAGTATGTCCATACACTTAACTGTCATCTCGTAGGCAACTTGAGGTGTTCAGCCTGATAGATCTCCAAAACTTGCTGAAAACTGCCTGCCTGTCTTCCTGCCTTCCACTAAGGAAAAATATAAGAGCATTAACGACCATGCAAGCCATGTATTTTTATTTGTTCAAAAGAACACAAACCATGGTTGATTTATCAGATCTGAGCAGGACTTGTCTTTTTTATTTCTTCTTGCAGGGGTTCCGTTTTCATTTGAAGCAGATGGTAGTAATAATATGATTTTAATGACTTCTGGTAAAGTGTCGTGCAGTGTGTCATGGGCCGTTGGAGCAAATGGGATACCACTGGCTCCTCCAGTCTTGCAGAAGAACTATGCTCTTTCAAGGTAGTAAACTTCAATAGAGTTCAATTCAACAAGTCCTCCATAAGCCCTTTCTTTCCTAGGGAGAGAGAAAAAAATACTCTGTCAGACTGCATAATTTTTGGAATAATACTTAGTGATCATTATTTTAGCCAGAGGTTGAATTATATTTTAACTTCTTTTGTCTGCGTGTGTCAGGTGAACATTATTATCTCTTGAACTACTCTGTACTGACATTGTGTATTATTTCAAGCACAATGATACTGAATGTATTTCAGATTTATTTTCTCTTTATTAACTTACTATGAGCTTGTTAAACAGTACACATCTTCAACGGTAGTGAGTCTTGTGAAATGATGGGATGTGATTGTAAAGCTGTTTGATTGTAAATTTTATTTGAAAAGGCAAATTAATGAGGTTATATAAAATTGACAATCCATAACTAGGAACACCAATCATAGAGATTTTTTTCATATTTTTTTTCTGTCTTCCAAAACATTTTGAAGACTTCTTTTAACCAGTTGTTTTCACTCTTATGTCAAAATTTCAGTTCCTTAAAAAAAGTGGATGCTATTGCATCAATTGGCGCATCTGGATTAACTGACATGAAGAAATTAGCCAAGTGGGTGACTGAAACAAAACTTGATCCTAACGATCCAAGCAACACAGTCCTGATGCAGTTTTTAAAAGTAAGAACTTTCTATTATTCATGATGCTTAACTTCCAGATATTTTTATCCTACTTTTTCCCAAAGCCTTAGTTGAAAAGTTAGTGATTCAGGTTAATACAATTTAGGCAGGTAATTGTTCCTTTTGGCATATTCCTTACGTGTGTGCACAGATGTTTACCTCAGATGCATTGAATGTTTCATTAGAAAAAGGGTCTGGGCTTTGATCCCAGTTCTTTATTCTGTAACACAGATGCAAATTCCAGAGCTGGAACACAAAGGCAGGCCCAGATAGAACAGGTTACTGCCGCCAGCCCTGGAGGTTACTGGTGTGATTTGCCATTGTTGTTTTTTTCCTTCTTCCACTTATTATGGTATTGCTAAAACATCTAATAGCCTCCAAGTTAGAAATTAGAAGATAAGTTGGACAAAGATTGAGATGTTAGCTTTATTGTGTATTTCTGTAGAAGTGTAGTGATTTCTTACATGTAATGCAATTCAGCTCCTGTTTTGTTAGGTGTTTCATTTGAACAATTTATATCCTAGTTGTGTGTTCCAGTCATGGGTTCCATCTCACCAATATCTACACTATTGTATTTCCCTTCATGTACTAGGACTTCAAGCTCTCTCTGTTTGTCCCCCTTATTACAAGCCTTGGTATACAGGCATTTGAGCCCTTATGGTTGAACTTCCTGTATCTTCTGATTGTACTTGTGTGTCCCTTCTTTATTACTCCCTTTCATGTTATTTGGATTGTTGTGTTGGGCTTTGTGCTTTGGGTTTAGTCCTATAAATAAGTCTCCTTCCCCCTGCACTTTTAGTTTAAAGCCCTTTGGTTAGGGAGCCAGTTGCTTCCCTAACACATTCTTTTTTAAAAAAAAATATTTTATTTTAAAAACAAAAATATAAATCTCTATTCACATTAACAGTGTTCATGTTATTATTAATACATACATCTCCTTTTATACATAAACATCAACTCTTATTTCTATCCTCCATTTGCACCACCTATCCCAAACTGCATAATAATCCGAATCATCTTTGCCTCTTAATTCCATTGTGAATTTATCCAGTTCCTCACAATCCATTATTTTTTGTGTCAAGTCTTCTTCAGATGGTATCTTTTCTTTCTTCCATCCCTGTGTGAAGGCTATTCTCGCCGCAGTTATGATATGTATACTGATGTATCGGATGACCTTGCTCAATTTTCCCTTAATTATTCCTAATAAAAATATTTCCATTTTAAGTTCTAATTTGTGTTCTGTAATTTCTAATAACCATCTTTGTACCCTCATCCAATATTTTTTAACCTCTGGACACTGCCACCACATATGGAAGAAAGTTCTTTATATTTACATTCTGATTTTGTGTTTGGATACATTTTGGCCAGTCTTGTTGGGGCTAGGTGCCATCTACAAAACATTTTGTATTGATTTTCTTTAAATGCTGTTGTCAATGTCAATTTATAATTATCAGTCCACATTTTTCCCAATCCTCTAAATGTATATTATGCCCTACATTTTTTGCCCAGGCAATCATTGATCCCTTCACTATTTCCTCTTCTAATTCCACTTCCAACAAATAGTTATACATTTTTGTTATGAATTTTATCTCCTTGCCTGTCAAAGTTTGGTCCAGTTGTTGCAAATCCTTTTCTATCCCTTGTTCTTCTAATTCTTTCCTAAATTTTGTCTGAATTTGTAAGTATGACCACCAATCTGTAATTATATCTTGTTCTTTTAATTTATCAATTGTTTTTAAATTCCCCTGATTATCTAATAATTCTTCATATCTGACCATTTTTCTTGTATCCCTCGTATTTAGGTATTATATCGCTTCCATTGGTGAGACCCATTTTGGTATCTTCATATAGTGTTTTTTTACCTTTTCCAAAGTTTGCAGTAGTGATTCCCTTATCAAATGTCTATGGAAGTATGAATGTGTCTTGTTGGTTTTTTTGACCCATAGGAAGGCATGCCACCCTGCTTGAAGGTCGTGACCCTCAATTGCCAAAACTCTTTTATTTTTCAAATTTATCCACTCCTTCACCCATAATAGTGCTGCTGCTTGGTAATATAATTCCCATTTTGGGAGTCCAAGGCCGCCTCTATTTCTACTATCTTGTAGCGTTTTTAGGCTTATTCGTGCTTTTTTACCTAACCATATAAATTTCATAACTATCTTGTTTAGCTCCTGAAAAAATCTCTTATCCAATTTTATAGGAATTGTCTGAAAATTGCATAGTAATTTCGGTAGAATATTTTTATCGCTGTTATCCACCCTAATAAAGATAGTTGTAGTTTCCCCCAATTTATCAGGTCCTTCTTTCTCTGTTGAAGTAATTTCTTATAATTGTCCTCCTTTATGAAGGAACATCTCCCTGATAGCCAAATTCCCAAATATTTAGTTTTTTTTTTTACCATCTGCAATCCCATTTTTTCTTCTAAATCTTTTTTCTGTCTTTCTGTCAAATTTTTAGCTAATATTTTGGTACAAGAGTAACACCTGCATAAACAATTATTCAGTGTTCCACTCTCTATCTTCTCTAAATATAAACAGCCTGGCTGGGAAGTTTCTGTTTCTCAAAGTAAAAGTATTCTTTAAAGCCTCTAGTTGGCAGTGTTACTTTGTTTTATTTAACTTTCACTTCCTCTTTACAATGTAACAAAGTCAAAAAGAAGTTTCAAAATAAAAGTCTCTCTTATAAAAAAAAGAGAGAAAAAGAAAACCAACAGAACACAAAAAAATAATTATCCAGCCACACACAGATACACTAAATTGAGTTAAAGTTTACTTTAAGAAATAGCACAGTCCAATAAATGATCCAGGTCATATACATTTAACAGTTCAAAGAATATCCAATTACAAAGTCTTCTTACCAGTTGCCTTTGTCATTTACAGTAAACAAAAATATCAAAGTATAAGCACAACAGAGAACCTTAGATAGCAACAGAATGTCAGAGATACAGAATGTCAGAGAGAGCAAGCCATGATCTCTAGCTCCCTCTTATGGCAATTTGCAACACAACCAACCAATCGGAATATAGTACAAATCAACACAGTGACTTTGTCTTAAAGCTACAAACATACATTGTTAGTTTATATATTGCCAATCCAATTAATTGGTGGACAGATTCCTAACATTCTCCCCCTTGGGTTGGTCAATATGTAACACATTACATCTTTAAACCATAATTCTCACTCTTTATGCTTAATTGCACCTTGAGCTTTCATGAAATGATCTGCAATATTATGTTCAGTCATGCAGTATTTCAACTGAATTAATTTATTTTGAACACACTGTCTAACATTCAAATATCTCAAATCAGTATGTTTAGACCTTGTTTTAACAGCTAAATTAGTAGCCATATTAATTGCAGATTGATTGTCTTCATAAACAATAAACGGATCACGTACAGTAATTCCAATATCCTTCAACAATTGTTTATAATACTGTGTATCAATTCTGTACACATTAAAGATAAACATGAGAATTCCACTTTCATAGTGGATAAACTAATATGTTGTTGTCTAATAGATTTCCATCCTATTAAAGCATTACCCAACATTACCACTATACCTGATGTTGACTTATGAGTCATTATATCAGAAGCAAAACTTGGATCAGCATATGCAGTTAACACTAATTCATTACTTGGTTCTAAATATAATGAATAATTGATTGTGTGTTTTAAAAACCTCATTATTTGCTTCGCTGCATGCCAATGCCTTTCATTTGGTTCAGCGTTATACCTAGCTAATTGGTTTACACTGTAAGATATATCTGGTCTAGACCAATTACCCAGATATGATAGACTACCGATTAAGGATTGATATTTTTCCTTATCAAACATAGGACTTTTGATATCACTATGTGTAAATTCCTATCTCATTGGTGTCTTAGTAGATTTACAATGCTCCATGTTTAATAATTGGCTAAACTTCTTGGCTTGCGAAATTTTAAAACCTTTATTCGTTTTCACAAAATCAAGACCCAAATAATGCTTAATCTCCCCTAAATTTCTAATCGTGAACTTTTTCTGTAATCTATCAACACTATCATTTGCTTCTTGTTCAGTTTTAGTTATAATTGCTATGTCATCCATAAATAACAGTAATAGAGAAATTAAACCATCTTTTTCTCTTCGGAACAAACCAGGATCAGCTATACCAGCTTCAAAACCTATTGAAACTAATTCCTTTACAATACATTTATTCCATTCATAACTAGGTTGCTTTAGACTATAAAGACTTTTCTTTAATTTCCAATAATCAGTTTTTCCATCATCCTTTAAACCTAATGGCTTTTTCATATAGATGATATGTTGTAAAGGTGCATGTAGATATGCAGTTTCAACATCTACATGGTTTATTTTACATTTATTCTTAGCTGCCCAAACTAATGCTACTCTCAATGTATTTGCTGTCAGACTAGGTGCAAACACTTCATCATAGTCCTTATCTGACTGAGCAAATCCTTGAGCAACTAATCTTACTTTATGGGTAATACTCCCATCCACACCAGTCTTTATCTTATACACCCATTTGCAACCTATTGTATGCTCACCTGGTGGTAACTTTACATCCTCATACATCTCTAAATCCTTTAACAATTTTAACTTCCTATTCATAGCTTCCTGCCAAGTTACCTGATCCTTTGTAGGATACATTTTTATTTCATTGAAGTTAGAAGATTCTGTATTAACCTGACATACAATGCTTGCTTGAAATCTGTCAGGTGGACGTCTCTCCCTAGTTGACCTCCTAGGCAACTCAGGACTTGTTGTTGGCATGTCCTCTTCCTTTACCTCCCCTATCAAATCCTCGTCTTCTACAGTCATAGAGGGTTCTTCTATTGATGATTCCTCCATTGAGGATTCCTCCACTATCTTATCATCAATATTATTATCATTAGGATTATCGGTAAACAATGGAGTCTCAACAACAACCCTACCCTGTAGCTTATTATAATCCTGTTCAAGCTTTCTTCAGCCAACATACTCCATAAATTTAGCACCTGCA